CTTGCCGCGGTGAAGACTGGGGAATACCTTTATAACTCCGTCAGACACCATCGATAGGCAAGTTTTCTTTCCAAATCGACTCAAAGAAGTCTTTTTAACAGACTGCAATATGCCATGAATAGACGTAACTAATTAAATATACATAACAACACAGTTCTTGAACAGGAATGATTTGCCTAATAAAAGAGTCACCAAGAAACGAGGTGTTAAAGACCAGTTGCATTTTCTTCCAGAAAAAATTAAAGGGGATTGGTGTTAAAACAGCATAAATTTGCATTTACAAGTATTACATCAAAAAGTTACCATGGAAATAAGCTAAGGAAGAAAAATTTCTGAACCTTACGGCAGTGAAAGACTTGAAAGCAACCAAGGAATTCGACTTCAAAATAACGGAGTTACCGTTGCAAAAAGTATAATTGTATACAAATTTAAAGGTCTTCAAGTGATGGAAAAAGACGAGGGACATTCCCTGAGATTCCTTTAAAAAAAAGAAACCTTGAAAATCGCCAATGGACGATGCTTGTCCAGACAGTCTCGTCTGACTTAGCATTAGGATTAAAGCAGTGTCTGATCTATGCGATAACTACTGCATCGTTTGCCAAAAGGGCCTACTTGTCTGACATCGCTCCAAATATAGCTTCATAGTATAATTTTTAAACCTAAACCGGGTTAGCTTCAGTGTACGTCATGTAACAGGGCCAGACGGGAGGTTGTATTCTGAAAATTCAAGTAATTGTTCAATGCAGTTACCGTTTGTCCGTTTGCATGGTGACGCCATTTGTTATTAAAATTTGTACAGTTAGTCGGCTGTCAGTTTGGAGGCAGGACTGACCACCAATACTTCAATTTGAAAATTCTCGGCCATTTGGAAGTTAACCGTGCAAAATTCTGTCGTATGTCAGTTGTAACTGATTTTACTCCAGTTTAAGCAGACTTAGCTAAGAAACCACTGAAAGAAAGTTGTAATTATTTAGCTGTACACAATTGAACTTTTATAAACACTAGCGCTGCCTTTTGATGTCAGTGCTACTCTGGTGTCAGATATAATCACACAAGCCTCCGTTCTAGATGAAAAACTCATAGAGGCAAATTTACCATCGATAAATTCATTTCAATCCACCGATTTGACATGTTTTGTGCCAACAAGTGCTCATATAATTATTCTTTTACAAAATAGCCATAGAAATCAAGTTAKGTTATTTTATCAAGCTAGGCAATAACGACATCCACGTTCAGTTCGCTTTCGCTATTTGAAGACTGACATACATGGAGATTTAAAGGCCGGAATTTCTTAAGTGTGAAAAAAAAACGGATATGACTAAAACCGTCACAAAAAGAGTGTAGTGTCGAGATTAGGCAACGAAAAATAGGATCGTAAATGTCAACGATTTGAAAAGGCTTTGTCTTATCTGTTATATTAGAATATAAACAATACAAGGTCTCCACGGATTCACTGTTAGTTTTATTTTATTAATTTTCTGGAGACAAGATGACATTAAACCGTATATGGTACTCGAAAAACATTTACAGAGAGTGCTCTCCTTGCCGGGTCCATATAGTACTTTTGAGTATAACAGTAAACTCAGTTTTCTTGGCTTCTTCAGAACGTTCGCAAACCAACGCATCTTCTTTATGTTATCTTATATTATACTCTTTCGGCAAACAGCTAGAGATTAAATTCATTGTAAATTTGAAATTCAAATGAGCCCGTGTAATATTTGTTATTGAGCTGACAGTATAACATTTACATCTTCGCATTGTTTCAGGGGACACCTTAATCTTACATTCTGAACGATTTATGGATTTGTTCCGACATGGGTTTCCAGCACCAAATATATCACAGTATTAGCTAAGCGTACAATCCCGTACCTTTTGACTCCCTTTCTGCAAAACAGCTTGTCACTTTAGAGCCAATGCTGAAAAGCATCACATTAGGTACTGTACATAAAACTGACAAGTACTTGTGTCTTTTGGGTTGTAGCTGAACAATACTGACATGTCTTCTCTGCTCTACACTTTAAAGATCTTCGTTCTACGCTAGCTTGTTTTCCTTCAAAAGTATTTTTCCATTTTTACAAAAAGAAAGAGCCGCTGTCGGTAACCTTAACGCCCGCCAATGAATCGCAATTGATCTTTATTGTTTCCCGGAATTTTTTGGGTCTACATCTGATGAATTGGATGAAATACGCTTTCCAGTGTTTTATCGTTCTCCGCATCTTTCACTCTCCTTGCTAACATTTTCTCTAAGTCAAGGCAAGGTCTCGAAATTTTGAATTTTTTCTTTAAACTTCCTCGGCAAACTTTATTTCTTTTTCTTCTAGTGTCCTTTTCACTTTGATCTTTAGCCAAGGCTGGTGGCAGTCGAGTCGAAAGAACCTCTGCACTTTCTGCTTTCCCTTCAAAGTTCGTTTGAAGCGCTTTAATTTTGCAAGAAGTAAGCTCTCGTAGTTCATCATCGCTAGAGCTGGATAAATCAAGTCCTCCGTGATCTTCCCTGAGTCCAGCGTTTAACTTGCCCCCATCGACTCCATATCCATTCTCCTCCTTGGAGGGTTTTGCAGCCTGGTTTCGTTTTAAATTCGGCCTTTTACTGCTGCCAAATTTAACGATGCGTACCTCGCTGACAACCGGTGGCGATTCCCTGCCATTGAGATGCAGCAAATTACTGCTTACACCGTGCGTCTTGCTCGCTTGGCTCGTCAGTCTCTCAAGCGTGCCTTTTGCGGGTGGCCTTTGGCAGATGAGCCAGGCGCTGTGATGAGAACCAAGCCTAACGTTAACATCCCTTGCGTTATTGTTTGTTGCGAGACTTTCATCTCTGTAAGCTAAGCCTTCTTCGAGCCTCTGTCGCCCGAATTGTTCGGTCAAGTTATCAACGCGAGCTACGTCCGCTACGATTGCAGCCATGTCAAATCTGTCCGCGGGGACCAGTGTCCATTCACTCGGTGTGCGGAGATCAATTGCGTGTGGGCGAGCGAGTTGTCCTTTGGTTGTGAGCTACGTTTAAAGATGACTGTCCCGATGGGGAAGCAGAAAGTAAACTTCTTGATGTTTTCGTATTGTCGATGTGACAATGATAGTATTTGCGTTTAATTCAAAAAGAGTAAAGTAATGGACAAAGCGTTCGCTTCCCATTGGCTGAGGTTATTTTCTCACCTCGTGTTTTAATTACACGCGAAATAATGAACATGAAATTTTAATGACCGAAAGTTTTGATTTTGCCAGCTAGCTCCAAAAAAAGTTCTTAAGGGACAATCAAGTCTCATAAGCAAGATATGGCATATGAATTATAACGGACTCAAACTTAACTGTTGAAAATTATTTTCTTTTTTATTCTATATACGTTTGATATTACGGCGTTGTGTCATTTTTTACCGACTTCCTTTCCGCCGGCTCACTTATAAATGACACAAAAGAATAGTGACGCTGTATTGCTTTTTCCTCTTCTTTATTCCCAACGTCGTAATGACTTCCAAAACATCTCGAAAAAGATAATCCTGTTGATCGACAATCGGCAAAGCCACTCTCAGATGAAATTAAAATTCCCTGCATTGTCTTCCTGCAGCACGAAGAGAAGCTAAACTATCACTTGAAGAAAATTCACGCTCTGAAGAGGCTTCCTGCGGTCTTTTTACTACACACACGCTCATTTCAATTTTGTTTAATTTTTTTCCCGCCACTATTTGACTTGACTGGCGCCTCTCCTGCTGTTAACGCGGCGCAATATTGGTGCATCGCTTTAGTTTATTGATAAAATAGCTATTCACTACCGTATACTTCGTGGATTCGCCGGCCGCCAAATTTCATTTCACAAGCGTTGTGATTTCCGACCCGCAATCTACCATCAGAATTGCAAGCAATTTCTTAACTGATGGTCGTTGAGACGCTAGTTCCATCGAGATATCCATTGCTGCTGAATAAATCCCCACCAAAAACAAATTGCTTCCATATACTTTAGTGGTGTTTTCATCTATGTCCCGAAACATTAAGTTAAGCTACTTCCAAGCTGTCTCCGAGAAAAAAAGAAACAAAAACATTTATATGTATGTACACGAAAATCTCCAAATTTGTTTTTGATAAGTTAGTAGACGCTAATGAGTTAAAAGCTTTTAAATAAGTAATAAAACGTTTATATTGTAACCTTATTCATCGAAAAGTGCATTTTTAGTCCCTATCTAAAATATATTTCTTTGACAGTGAAAGGGTGAGGGTAACGTGAAACGAATGTGGTCAAATTTTGAGCTCATTTCATTGTAATGCCTGAACGGTCATGGAGATGGATCAGAGTATACTGAGGTGATCTCAAAGAGAAATAAATACAAACACGTATTTATTGTTGTACGGAAGGACATTTATGATAGTCGAGTGAAGATATCGAATTAACCATGAGGGTAACCATTTTAAAACCACCAACACATATAAACATTGCGAAAAGCTATAGTGTTACGTTCTGCACGACTCGTTCAAATCTTACCAGAAAATTACACGACATTCATGGACTTTTGTGCTTCTGAATCTTACTGACTGAAGAGATTGCCGGGGCTGGAAAATTGCTTTTTGCATAAACGATGCTCGTTAAAGGGAATAATCGATGTTTCTGTCTTCCATTTTGACTGTTATGATGATTTCTGTCCCCTACACCTGTATGTGGTATAATACGGCTGTAATGTATCCGATACTCTTCCGTTGTGTTTTTGTTGGAAAGTGGTATAACCTCAGCGTGATTCGCCGGCGCGCGGCTCTGGCGCCGACGCGTTGTAATTCAGCAAGCCATACAGCAGGTGCAAAGATCTCGATTTGTTTCAGATGAACTGGACGCTTCGGAAGAAACGACTTCCCTGAGGTCTTAATCCCGCAGTCTCAAGATCGTCACTTTAATTCCCATTATTTCTTTTTTCGTGAATTTCTGGCGCTGGTTCACAGTATAATGCCAATTCTTGTTAAGGTGCACTTCATTGACTCATATAAAATCTTGTTACATCTTGTTACAGCAACTGCGGTTTGCTTGTCGTAAATTAGATTTAAAGGTGTCCGTCATAACACAAAGCGTTGGTTCTTGTTTAGGAACGTGATACGATTTCGAATTCGTCTCTGTAGACAAGAAATATGCAATTAACATAGATAAGCTAAGCTTCTATTTTACAACTTCAAACCTTACAAGCCTTAGATAATTAGCATCGGCTGTCAATCTAATTTCGAATCCAATTGGTCTAAAGGAAAATGCGTAAGCCCTGCAATTTGTTACTTGCAATACACGTGGAAAGCTGTTTATATCGTTGGAGATTCCTCGTTTTACAGAAACTACTTTTTCGTACCAAGCGTCAACCTTTAAAGTCGGGACGACTCGGATCCTGGAAACATACTGACAAATAAAGACCTCTGAGATCTTCTGACGTATCTCTTCTACAGTCGAACATCAGTTTGAAAATTGTGCTCATCCGTAAACCACCTGCAGGCAACTTATTTCGGCCCTCTGAAGAAACAGCACACAACACGCGCAAAAGAAATGAACGTCGTGTAACTTTTTTGTTTTGTTTTGTTTTGTTTTGTTTTGTTTTTTAAATCCTGTTTGTAGTCGTAAACTATAAAATGGCACAAAGAAGATAAGGGGCAAACCCGGTATAATATTTGATTTTTTTTTTTTTGCATAGCGGTTAGAAAGATAATTAAAGTTTACACAAGTACGCGAAATATATCGAGTATTGAACTGATCATTTGCTAGGCGCCTAGATGCCGGCCCTTTTAGTTCTGTTTATTTTCTGTTGTTTTATTTTTTAATTACTAAGAGGGAAAAAATCTAATTAAACTGTGGAAGATCTTTTTTTGGATAATATCTAATATTTAGTTTGTTCGTATCTCTCAAAATGCAAGATATAAATCTTATGCAGCCTTTCTTTTCCCGAAAGTTTCAAATAAGTTAGGTCACAAATGTTCGGAGGTTTCAGTGAATCATATGAATCGCAGACGATGAGTTAACGTTTTTTCGCTTTAGGATGTCAATGTTATTTAAGAAATAGAAAACATGTTCTGTGTTTCTATCGAGTTATAGAAACAGGAGTAGAAGATTGGGAGGACGAGAAATGCTGTGGGAACAAGAGCCAACAGGCGAGTGTTTCCACAGCTTTTTCGAGTTATAGAAAACACGATTTTTAACCGCCGAGTCAGCGCGTGTATTTTCTGTTGCCGGGGCTAGTCAGTCTAAACGATAGAAGCTTACTAGACATGTTCCCTTCACCACGAATCGGGTACAGGTAATTATATATTTAAGTATATTTATAGATTGCACTGCATTGTGGGGGCTAAAATTGGAAATGAAACTCAGTGGAAAAAAATGTTTCAAAATCAGAAAAGATCTCTACGAGACACTGGTAGATGGCACCTTAAAATAATAACTTATTGATAGCTCTGTTTTCAAAATGGCTGAAAACAAAACAACACAATAAGTCAAGAGGAGTTATCTGAATTCAACATATATACTCCTCAATGCTAGTGTCCAATCGTGTTTCTTGTGTCCCATCCCTTTCGTTTTAATCTCCACTGGCTTCCTGTTAACTATCGTATCATCTTTAAAATTCTACTCATCACGTACAAGGCCC